GACCAAGAAGCACTTCTGGGGGTAAAAGTGGGTGCAGAGATTCTCTAGGAAATTCTGTGTAACTTAACAAAAAACAGGAAAAACCAGAGGAAGAATAAGTGAAACACCTATGGACTCTCCAAGAGGGAAGTTAACATTGATTTCCTGCTCCACCCATCAGAAATCATCTCAGTGAGCTTTAGATGACTCAAACTACTTAATTTGCATGAAGGACTTTGATCTTCACCTCTGGATTTCTTTGGTGGAGACAGAACAGTGAGATTGCCTCTTGCCTTTCATGATTAACCATTCTGCTTGTACAGTGCTTTCTCAGGCATTACATCATTTAAGTCTCACTTTAACCCATCTACGTCAGTGACATTTTCCCTATTTTACAAACAAGTAACAAGAAACCATGGAAAGAAATGAGTTATTACTCAAGTTTATGACGGTTAAGTGTCGAATGGCAGGGCCAAGATCAAACCAATGCCCTTCCCTTCCCAGTCCAGTGTTTTTTCTATTGCTTTGCCTTCAGATCTGGGGTGGGTGGTGAGAAGGTGAACCAGCATCCTATCTTTTCCCTTTTCTTATGGTTTCCTACCTAACTTCCTTCAGCTTCCCTTCCCTCAGCCTGCTGCTAAAGGACCCTAGGTTTGATGTCAGGAGACTGAAATTCTAGTTCTGATTCTGCCACAGGAGGCTGGCTAGTCTTAAGACATGTGTGTCACTTATGTGCTCGTGGCCTCAAAGGCCCCATTATTGTTAATACTTCCAACTCTGTCTCAATGATAGTATGAGAAATGGAATCAGACTATCTATTGGTTGATTTTTACATTTATATAAAGGTTTTGGACAATAGCAGGGGCTTGAAGGAGTGAGAAAGGTTAAGCAAAAGGAAAGAGTCCCTCTGGGGATAAATTCCAGGATGACCCCACCTCATACATACTCACCCTCCCTACCTTGAGGATACAAAAATCCGAGAATGCTCAAATGTCTTAAATAAAATGGCATAGTACAGCTAATGCTCGACTTACGACCACGGTCGGGACCGCGGGTTGGTCGTAACACGATTTGGTCGTAAGTTGAGTAGGCTATATGTACAGTTGAAATGGTGCACGCGGAGATGTTAGTGCTGCCGGAAGCTGGTCCGCACTGTCGTACGCCCAGCTGGGCAACGTTTGCGCTGCCAGACGCGGAGCAGTCGTGGCTAGCAATTGTGGTCGTAAAGTCGAATGGTCGTAAGTTGCATAGGTGGTAGGGCCGGGCGCGGTGGCTCACGCCTGTAATACCAGCATTTTGAGAGGCGGAGGCAGGTGGATCACCTGAGGTCAGGAGTTCGTGACCAGCCCAGCCAACATGATGAAACCCCATCTCTACTAAAAATACAAAAAATTAGCTGCACGAGGTGGCGGGTGCCTGTAATCCCAGCTACTTGGGAGACTGAGGCAGGAGAATCACTTGCACCCTGGAAGCAGAGTTGCAGTGAGCTGAGATCGGGCCACTGCACTCCAACCTGGGTAACAGAGAGACTCGATCTCAAAAAAATAAATAAAATAAAATAAAATAAAATGGCATTGTATTTGCATATGACTTACACAAGTCCTCCAGCATAATTTAAATCATCTTTAAATTAACTATAATGTTTAATACAATGTAAATGCTATGTAAATAGTTTTTATTTGTATTGTTTGTTATTGTTGTGTTTACATTTTTTCGAATATTTTTGATCTGTGGCTGGCTGAATCCTTGGATAAGGGACCCACACATGTGGAAGGCTGACTGTAATTCCAAAAAAATAAGACAAAGTGGACTTATAAGAGTTCACAGGGCCAGGCGCGGTGACTCAAGCCTGTAATCCCAGCACTTTGGGAGGCCGAGGTGGGTGGATCACGAGGTCAAGAGATCGAGACCATCCTGGTCAACACGGTGAAACCCCGTCTCTACTAAAAATACAAAACATTAGCTGGGCATGGTGGCGTGTGCCTGTAATCCCAGCTACTGAGGAGGTTGAGGCAGGAGAATTGTCTGAACCCAGGAGGCGGAAGTTGCGGTGAGCCGAGATCGCGCCATTGCACTCCAGCCTGGGTAACAAGAGTGAAACTCCGTCTCAAAAAAAAAAAGAGTTCACAATAGGTGGGGCATGGTGGCTTACGCCTGTAATCCCAACACTTTTGGAAGGCTGAGGTGGGTGGATCACCTGAGGTCGGGAGTTCAAGACCAACCTGACCAACATGGAGAAACCCAGCCTCTACTAAAAATACAAAATTAGCCAGGCATGGTGGCACATGCCTGTAATCCCAGCTACTCAGGAGGGAGGCTGAGGCAGGAGAATCGGTTGAACCCGGGAAGCAGAGGTTGCTGTGAGCTGAGATCACGCCATTGTACTCCAGCCTGGGCAACAAGAGTGAAACTCTGTCTCAAAATTGAAAAAAAAAAAAGAGTTCACAGTAAATATTTAGGGTGTGGAGTGAGTTAAGATAGGCTCAATCAACTCTTCCATCTAAGACCTTTCCCCTTATCTTTCCCTGGTTTCGGACAGGGTGCTTAGATGTAATTCCTGAAAGGCCAAATAATATTTTGGTTTTTCAGTTTGTTTTGGTGAAAGGAATGAGGATGTGGAATACACATTGTTATAGGAACCACAGGATCGACAAATTTAAGAATCCCTCATGTACATCTAGCCCAACTTATTCTGAAATGTCCCAATTCTAATCCCATTGTGCTGCCAAACAAATAATTTGCTGTCCTGTTGGAATCTGAGAGTCAAAAGTGTGTGAAAGTTCAAACGTGGTCAGGGAATTTTTTTTAATGGATCGATGTGGTAGGTTTGGTGGCTTTGTTTTTACTGCCTTCTGGAACCAAGAAAATCCTTTCCTATGTAACTCACTCAGTTAATGCCTCTCACTGTTTTTAGAGGCAAATTGGTCTATTTCCTGCTTATATGCCTGTTTCCCTCTTTTCCTCTTCCAGGAAATTCAGAAATACTGACTCATCTTCACTCTTATATTAAAGCAAGCCAGTTTTTCAATAGCTATTAAATCTAGTATGTCCATGAGCAAGCTTCATCTGGAACATTGGAATGTGAAGTCTAGACAGTGTTAGAGAAAACTGGCTTTCAGATCAAAAACAGAGATCAAAAAGTGAGGTGATGTAGAGCAAGGCGAGAAAGAAAAAGAAAAAGAAAGAAATGAGCTTCCAAAACACAGAGATTTGGGAAAGGGATGGGAAGAAATGACAGTGGGTAGAGTGGAGTGCTTTTGAAATTGATAGAGAGCATGGTGGGTTACAAAAGCAATTTAGTGATTTTCAATCAGCATTTAAAAAAATGATATGCCGGCCAGGCGCGGTGGCTCACGCCTGTAATCCCAGCACTTTGGGAGGCCGAGGCGGGTGGATCACGAGGTCAACAGATCGAGACCATCCTGGTCAACATGGTGAAACCCCGTCTCTACTAAAAATACAAAAAAAATTAGCTGGGCATGGTGGCGCGTGCCTGTAATCCCAGCTACTCAGGAGGCTAAGGCAGGAGAATTGCCTGAACCCAGGGGGCGGAGGTTGCGGTGAGCCGAGATCGCGCCATTGCACTCCAGCCTGGGTAACA